TTTCTTACGCGTTGGTTCATGGTATTGTAGTGATTTCAAATGCAATCGCATTAGAAGATAACTAGCCAGATACACGCATCAGCCCCACTCTGGTCATACGATAACCCCGCTCTCGACCGCTCTCAATTGAAAGCTGGGCATACGCGCCTTTGAGCCTTGTTGCCAATTCGCTCTTGTTCCTTCACGGTTGAGCTCAATGACGAAGGTTATATTGTTAGAATTTTGAGAACTTTCCAATTCTTCGCCACACTGAAAGCGATGATGGTTTAAGGGTAAAATCCAGGCTTCCCATACTCATAATAGAGCTTGCCTGGGCTCCGGGGTTAGTACCTTTTGATCAACCTATAAGATGTCCTGTTATTAACAACCACCTAAAGTTCGAGTCCCGGTCATCGCACATAATATCAGACGATAATATTTTTGCGCTGAAGTTCAGATGGTGAATATTCGTCTCGTCGGTTAGTCTGAAAGTTGAACATTCATCTTTTTGCTAGCGATGGTAGTACAATCAAAACAGAACACGAAGGCCGGCATTGAGTAAGATTGAGATGAAAAAGTGATGAAGGTAAAGCCTGTGCGAAGAAACAAAAGGCTTTTTGCAAATTTCTCCGTTTGGTGTACCCACTTGCATGTTTTCAGGCTAGCCCAGGTACTTGCGTGTGTATGGACCAGAGATTGTGTATGCTAAAAGTAGCTAGTACAAAAGAAACGAAAATCATTGCGTGTCTGTGGTCGTGTTCAAACGGATAATAATCAATGCGATAGGCACAGGCAATGGTGTTTTAATATACTGGGCATTATGTCGGCAAGGTGGCTGAAGATGAGACGCATGAAATCAAGCGACACCATATGTTTGAGAGTTATTGCCAACGAGCTGTCGGCCATACAGTTGTGGCCTGCAAAGCTCTTGAGGAATCTCGACTACGAATGAGAGTATAGTACCATCATACGTCAACCGGCCCCCCCATATATTCCGATTCTTTCTAGAGTTTGTCGAGATAGCAGGTGAAAACACATCTATGGAGGTGTTCACCATGTTAGTGCTAAATTTGCATTTTGGATCGGGCATTAAATTGTGACAATGGAAAGAGATATAGTAGTAGGTGTTGTAGAACAAGCGCGCTGGCAATCGAGCTCAACTCGAGGCAGATGTGGGGTCCAGCAACCGCCCGTAGCGCTGCGTCATTGCTTGTGAGCCAACTCAACCAACAGCTCAAACAACCAACGTCAACTCCTCAAACTTGCCCTCATCCCAACCACTCACCCCCCTTACTTTGCCAACCATGGCCTCCAAAATCGAAAAGACGCTTGCGCGACAAAGAGAAAAGTGAATGCCTCGCGAAACGCCCCTGAATAACGCTGTCAAGCTAACCCCACCATAGAATCGCAGAGGGTCAGTACTACGAAGCCCACCAACAACTCCGCGTAATCGCCTCGCGCTACACAAAAGCCAGCGACTGGCCCAACGCAACCTCGATCCTCTTTCAAGGCGCGCAATCACTGCTACAAGCCGGCCAGGGCGGCTCCGGCGGCGACCTCTGCATCTTCCTACTCGACGTGTACAACAAGGGGGAAATCAAAGTAGATGCTGAAAGCAAAGGGCGGTTGTTAACGCTTCTGCGAGCGTTCCCCAAGGGTGAGCCTACCAAGAAGAAGTTTGTGGGGGAGATGATAGTGTGGAGTTCGCGGTTTGGAGACTTTCCTGCAGGCGACCCAGAGTTACATCATGTTGCGGGGGGATTGTATGCTGAGGGTGAGTCTTCCCTGTCAAAAATACTAGCTTGCTGCGTCGCGAGCAAGAAGAAGAAACCATGCGAGAGAACACCAGGTAGGGGAACATCCAAAGCCCATGCTAACTTTCAACCCACAGAACTCGAACCCTACGAGGCAGAACGCCACCTCCTGCTCGGCACCCAAGACAGCGCCGCAACCCTCGCTTCCCTACACTACAACTGGTACACATCAGACGCGCCACACACAGCGCCCCTCTACTGTGCCCGTGGCGTCCTGCCCTACCTCCTCACCGGCAACCTACGAGCCGCCAACAAGTTCTTCCTCCTCTTCACCTCTGCCGTCGAGAAGACACCAAACCCACCCACACAAGCCGTCTCCACAAAGTCGTCGGAATTCCGCGTATACCCCTCGCTGCCGTTGTTAAATTTCCTAGGACTACTCCTCCTAAGTGTGGAAAGGGGAGACCCCAGCTTGTGGCGTCAGCTAAAGAGCCATTATACGGGTGATTTGAAAGACGTGAATTGGAACGAGGCGTTGGATCAGATTGGCGAAATGTACTTTGGAATCAAGATTCCCCGACAGGGCAACCCCATGTTCGATATGCTCGGAAGCATGTTTGGAGGTGGCATGGGAGGAGGGAGTGGAGGAGCGAAGAAGGCGATTGGATGAAGGGCACCGCCGACTGCAGGATTGGATTGAGTGAGGAGCAAGGAGAAGAACTGAAATCAGCCCAATAGATGACGATGCCACAGTAGCAGAGATACCAACGTATACCCAGAAAAGAAAAAAGGCGGCAAAGTTCAGAAGGGTAATTCATGAGGGTTGTTTATTTGTTCAAGTGATTGTGTTTGATGTTAATGTCTACCTGGTCATGTCGGCATGACAGTCCGCTCAAACCCCTTCTTGATGACCCCCATCTCACCCTTTACATGGGGATGGTCTTCTCCTTGAAGTACACACCATACTGGTCCTCCAGTGTCTTCATCAGCGGCTTGCAAATCTCCGTGCTCATAGGTGCCAGGATGCCCTTCTCGCTGAGCGTACCGTCAAGTACCTGCTGGACGGCTACCGCACACGGCACACCGACCAACTTGGCCATGGCCGAGTAGCCCTTGGGATCACCGTAGTCTACAAGCGTGCAGGTGCGGACAGCCTTGCTGCCGTCCTTGTTCTCGATTTCGAACCTGTGCTGGAGCATGACCATGTCGCGCTCGCCCTCCTCGTACTGCATCTTCTTCTCCAGAGTAGCGCACAGAGTGTCCAGAGGGTTACCGCGAGGAATGATTTCCTCATCGGAGATGATACCGATCCAGCGGAGACCGGAGATGATGCGGTCCTTCTCTTCTGTGCTGGCGAACTTTGTTCGCGAGGAGATAGCCCAGATGATGTCTTCGTCCTTGCTGCTGGTGGCGCCAACAATCTTGGCTGTGGCGTCGCGCCAGGTGCTCTTCTGGCCCTCCTTGAGGAAGTCCTTGGGGTCTTCCGACAGGAAACCAATGTCTACCAGGCACTTGATGTACTCTGGGAAACCCTGGTACCTCAGTGTACCACGGATGATGGTTTGTGCCTCTGGGATGTTGTAGCGCTCCTTGTAGGGTGTGGAGTCACGGTTGGGGTATGCGACAAAAGCGTAACCGGGGTAGATGAAGTATGGCTTTGCCTCGGCCATGAGTTCTGGGCCCTCGATCGACTTGACCTCGCCATCTTGGTAGAAAGCTGCCTGGTTTCTCAGGGCGAGCAGTACACCCCTGGAGCTCCAGGAGAACTTGTAACCGAGAGGGTTGTCTGAGGCCTCTGGAGCGGGAAGACCACCGCAGTATGACTTAAAGGACAGAATCTTGCCGCCAGCCTTGTGAACCTCGTCGATGGTAAGGACGGCCGAAAGATGGTCGACACCAGGGTCTACACCAATCTCGTTCATGACTGTGATACCGGCCTCCTTTGCCTCAGCGTCGAGCTCCATCATGGCGGGAGAGACATAGGATGTTGTGACGACATTCTTCTTCTTGCGGATCGCCGACTTGATAACGGTAGCGTGGAATGTGTAGGGAATGAGGGAGATGACAACGTCAACCTTGGCGACTTCGGCGTCGAGCGCTTCGGCGTTGTTTACGTCAAGCTAGTGATTGTGAGCAGCTGAGTCAACAATGTGAGAATTGAGTACCGTACGCTAATGGCGTTGGTGTTGGGAATGCCCTTAGCTAGGCCCTGGGCCTTTTCCAAAGTACGGCATGCGACTGTGACTTTGACGCCAGACTTTGCGAGAACATCTACGGTTGGTCGTGTGCTACTAATGTTAGTTATTGCAATTTCCAGTGACCTTTTACGGCTTACACAAAGCCGGCACCCAGCAAAAGGGCAGTCCTGCCGTGTTGTTAGCCAATTTGTACTGCAAATGCTGTCTCTCTGTAACATACTTTCCGCTGTATGGCCCAGTGGCAGTGCCCATGACGTTCTGAAGTTTGTCTGCAAAAGCTATTAGCGTACTATCAATGGCACTGAAACTGAGTGCCTACTGGTAATTGCCTCCATTGTGTATGTTTGTGAGAAGTTGCCAAGCTAGAGGGAAAAAGTTTGGGCAAAGTTATATCGCCCTGGTTGACTCCGGATCGGAGTACTGAGAAATCGGCGGGGTTACTCCGTCATCGCTCCAGAAAGTGGGGCACCCGTACGCGTAGAACTGGGGATAATTGTCTGGTGCAAACCGAGCGCTGCTCCGAGACCAATATGTCAATTGAATATCTTGGATCACAGGGAACGGTTAAAGATGCCTGAGTCTACTCTCTCTTTGCTCTTGTCTGACCGACGTGACATTGAAAAAAATCGCCGCCGAGGAATATGACAATCACCCAAGATTTCTTATTGCTCAAATAAGAAATGCTGACATGTGAGCTGCATGAAACATACCACTCATCAGAGGCTCTATGTACAAAATAAAAAACAAAAGTTCAGCATTTCTGCTATAGGTCGTGCAATCATGGCGCTTTGGTTGGGCATTCTCGAGCATTGCCCGTCCTTCATGGGGAAAGTGGGCCTGGATACTGCCAAGTACACTAGACCGCATTTGTATTGGTGCGGTATCAGGCGCATCGCCGACTTGCCAGGTACGCGTTTCAAGCCCATAGGCAACCGACAACGACATACGAACAACATACAACAACTTTATAACGAGACTGGAGATACTTTCTCAAGTAAATTCGCAGTTCCTAGTTGCTTAATAGTCATACTCTACCCGAACTGCCAGACTCCTCTAGGCTGCCACCACCATGCCATCAGCTATTGACCCTGATGATGACTTGTGGACAGCGATCAAACAAGTAAAAAAGGACCATGTGCACTGCAATCACCATCTCCATGCTAACCCTATCAGATATCCCAGTCATCCGTGGGCTCGGACTATATTGATCAGCTGATCCCCATAATGAAGGACCCCCGTTACTCAAACCATCTGCAAGTCACATTCGATCGATATGCAAATGATCGCGAGCATGAGATTGAGCGAATATGTAACGCAAACCATCAAGACTTCGTGAGCTCTGTCGACTCACTGCTCAGGATACGGGACCAGACTGTGCAAATGAGTGGTGAAATCCTGCAGCTAAACGAGTCCATCCAAGAGAGTATCGAGAAGCTGGCGGAGCACAAGAAAGCGCTAGTTGACTCCAGAGGGGTGCGTCAGAACATCAACGAAGCTAGCCAAGCACTCAACGCGTGTTTGAACGTTCTCAGAATTGCCAACCAGGTCCAAGATCTGTTAAAAGAGAAGAATTACTATGCGGCTTTAAGAGCACTAGACGAGCTTCAGACGATTCATTTGAAGGAGATTAGTCGTTTTAAGATTGCGAACTTGATCGAGAAGTCGATCCCCCAAACCCAGGAGCAAATCAGAGAAGCAGTCAAGAGCGACCTGAGTACATGGCTGTATCGCATCCGCGAGTCTGCACAGTTCCTGGGCGAGGTATCATTTTTCTATACTGAGCAACGAAGAAAGCGCAACCAATGGCGTGCCGAGACTGACCCGCGTTTCTCAAAGTTCAAGCTAAACTCGGCCATTGAACTTGTCGCTGATGAGACGGATGAATTTGATGTTCTGAACAATGAAGAGGCTGGTAATGAGACCGACTTCTCCCGTTTGTTTGAAGCCATGCATATCAACGAGACGCTGGGTAAGAGTGAACAGTTCAGAGCCGAGTATGCTTCGGATAGGCGTACGCAGAAAGACCTCATCATACCTAATAAGCTTGATCTGCTTGATGAAGAATGCAGCGACCTGAGTAGTTTGCTTGAGAGCATTGCGGGATACGCCATTATTGAGAAAGCAACCATGACCATAACAACCAATCTGCGATCACAAGCCGACGTAAGTAGAGTCTCCTCTCTTGTTTGGCCTGGTTTTGTCTAATGCAGGAATAGGTTGACGAGTTGTGGGATTCAATGTGTCAAAGTGCAATCAAACTCATCACAGGAGAGCTTCACACAGTCGACAACGATGAGCTGTTACTCAAGATCAAAGGCCGCATTGCGCTTTTCATGCTCACAATGGAGGTTCGTATCCTCAATCATTACGTGTACGGGCGAAACTGACTTCAGCTGAAGAAATGGGGATATTCAGTCTCTGCAATGAACGACCTGCTTCTCACACTCTTCTCCAAATACTCCGCTCTCCTCAAGCAACGGTTCAGCGACGATTTCTTGGAGATCGTACATACTGACGATTACATGCCCATGCCTATCAACTCACGTGAAGAGTACGACAAGGTTGTATCCGTGTCTTGGTACAGCCCCCCGGCCAATAGCGAACAACTCACATTCCCATGTGTTTTGCCATTCTCGCAAATGTATCCTCTATGCTGCATCGACATTAGGAACTTCCTGAATCAGATCTACCTTTTCAGCGACGACTATTTCCAAAAAAGCAGTGTCATCGACGAAACACTCCGTACCAGCCTTGACGAACTCCTCTGCGAGAAAGTGTGTGGAAGTCTTGTCGAGCGCCTAAGCAGCCAGTATCCCGGTCAGATTGTACAGATCCTCACCAACCTGGAGCACTTTGAAAACGCATGTGTAGAGCTCCAGGACCTGCTGTTTGAGGCCCGCTCTTCTCCCTCTGCAACAGGTCCTATTGTTCTCACCGCCACGGAGCGCTTTGCAAAAGCCAAGAACACGGCATCAAATCGTGTCTTTGAGCTCGTCAACAGCAAGATTGACGACTTGATTGAGACAGCAGAATATGATTGGATGGCCACAAAACCACAGACGGAGCCTTCGACGTACATGCTGGAGTTGACTAGGTACCTCTCTAACATCATGTCATCGGTTCTTCTCGCCCTACCCATGGACATCAAAGAGTTCATCTACTTTGACGCGCTATCCCACGCCTCAACCGCTATCCTCGATCTGCCTCTTGCACAACATATCAAGCGCATTTCTCCTGCCGCAGTCGCCACCCTCGCCGCTGACACGGCTTTCCTATCGCAATTCGTCAGTTCGCTAAACAATCCGATTCTCATGGAAAACTTGGATGAACTGACGCAAACGGTGGCGCTCATGGGTACGGACAATTCCGAAGAGTTCTTCGACATTGCGCAAAGGAATAAAAAGTACAGCAAGGTGGACCAGATGAAGGGTGCCATTTTGCTAGAGAAGGTGCAAGAGGGCGCGCAAGTTGCAGCGCAGAGTCCAAAGGTGGAGGGTAAGGATCGATTCGGCACTCTGGGATCGAGATTCGGTATTAGATAGGTTAGAAGCGGGGTGAGTAATGCGTGCTTGTTATGTTCAAGATGTTGCATAGTATGTAAAATCCAATTATTATAAACGCTTAATGGAGGTATGTATCTAGGGAAGGCTCGCTTTGGCGATCGCATCTCGTGTTTTAGCTGGATACCGCGGTTCAGTGGGCTGGCTTTCTTACTGAAGGATTATGTTAACTACCAGTTCTCAAGCTTGCTTTACTCCTAGGGTCTCTTCGGTTGCGTGTTTTGCGGTTGCGTTTTTGACACCCATTCGGGTACAGCGCTTTTTTGTAATCAGCTATTACGTTAGCGACGCGGTTAACCAGCCATATAGTTCATAAGACTGAACAGTCAACTGGACGAGTAGCAACAAGCAGATCCTCTCTAAGATCCCGGCTATTTGCATGCCAAGAACCAGTCATGTGACATCCTTTATCTCTCAATCTTGACGCTTACACCTGGAACGTCTCCACGAGCAGACACTTCACAATGGCTGCCCGCAATCAATCATGGCTTCACCTGTTATTGGTATTATGCTCGATCCTAGCAAGTGCCATGGCAAAAACGTCGAAGCTAAGGTACATCATGTATCTGACAGGGTACATTCCTCCCAGAGAGATTCGGTGTCTCGACATAGGTAACTGATTGCTTTCAGACAACACAACGTCGTGCCTGAGCCGCCTCTAGTTGAAAACATAACTGAAGTGGCTCTTGCTTTCATGCGATCTGATACTTTCAATAACGCCACGCAAAACGAACGGCCACTCTTCACTACCATAGATGAAGTCAGACCCAAGTTCGCCAACGGAACTATTATTCAAGTTGCCATTGGCGGATGGGGCGACACGGACGGCTTCTCAACCGCAGCAAAGACGGAAGAAAGCCGTAAGCTCTTTGCAAAGAACGTTCAGGCTATGCTTGATGTGACGGGCGCAGATGGTACAAGAAGTCCGACAATCAAAGAGAGAGCATTCGCTAACTACTTATACGCAGGCATCGACGTAGACTGGGAGTACGCAGGCGGCAACGGTGAAGACTACAAGCAACCCGGCCAACTCAACAGCGACAAAGCCTGGGAAATCGAAGCCTACCCCAAACTCCTCGCCGAAATCCGCGCTGCCATTGGCCCCGAAAAAACCATCACAGCAGCCGTTCCCGGTCTCCCACGTGACATGCTCGCCTTCACAGCCTCCACCATCCCCAGCATTATGGCCTCAGTCGACTACCTAAACATCATGACGTACGATATGTTTAACCGCCGCGATAACGTAACCAAACACCATACTGGCCTGCAACTCTCCCTCGAAGCCATAGACGCTTACCTCGCCGCCGGCGTGCCGCCGGAAAAGGCAAATCTAGGACTAGCTTTCTATATCAAGTGGTACAAAACAGCCGCCAACTCTACTTGTAGCACATATCCGATTGGATGCGCTACGGAACTCATGGAAGACCCTGTTACAGGCGCTGATCTGGGCAAAGCTGGTGCGTTTTCATGGCACGATGCAGTTCCTGAAGAACTATCTACGTCGTTTAATCGCGCGATGGAAAAGGGTGTGTATGATGAGGTCGGTGGTGGTCATTACTACTGGGATGCGGAGGAGAGGTTGTTTTGGTCGTGGGATACGCCTGATGCTATGAAGCGCAAGATGCAGATCATCATGACGGAAAAAGGGCTGGGAGGCGTGTTTGCCTGGGGGTTGGGTGAGGATGCACCGAAATTTGAGCATTTGAGGGCGAGTAACGAGATGGTGGCTGCACTAAATGAAAAGGGTGATGAACAAGATGCTGTGGATTCTGAACACAGGAGTGAGCTATAGTAAGACATGCGGGCTGGGTACACAGTATGCACGAAGAGGTAATAGGTAGATGAGAGAGCAAGGGCAGTGACACTGCAAAAAGTGGTTTTGGTTTATAAACAACATTACAAGAATATTTACAGAGAACATAGGGTACTGTTCTACAGAAAAGGCGGGCTATTCATCTCCAATGCGCTGCGCGTAACATGCTAGCTTAGTTCTGTCCCTGCTTAGCCCTGAGCCATGCGACGAACTCCTTGATGGTGAACTCCTTGGGGAGAACAGCGCCAGAGCCGGATCCAGTACCGGCGCCAGCACCAGATCCAGCATCAGGAGCGGGAGCAGGAGCAGCGGAGGGAGCGGCAGAAGGAGTAGGAGTGGCAGAGATCACGGAGGTGGAGAAAGAGGATGGGGCAGCGCTGGGAGAAGCAACGGGAGCCTGTCCACCAGCCTGGTTCTCAGGCTTAGTAGCAGCAGGAGCGGGGGTAGGAGAAGGAGTAGCAGAACGAGCAGCAGAAGAAGAAGGCTTAGCAGCAGGAGTGTCAGGTGCAGCAGCGCTTCCATCACCGATCTTGGTAGTCAGCTCTCCGTCCTCAATGTACACACCGCTGAAGAACCAGTCCTCGGCTCCAGCAGCATCGTTGGAGCCCGGCAGCCTCAGGATACCGACGTGGAAGTCAGCGCCGTTGGACTGTGTGCTGGCAGTGAAGGGACCGGCAGTCTTCTTCAGCTCGTCGCTGCCGGTGGAGTGCCAGAAGGTAACGGAGCCGCCGGAGAAGTCAATCTCGTAGGCGACGTTGTGCCACTCGTCGGCCTTGAGCTCGACGTCCCACTTTGAGACGCCGCCGACGTGCCATTGGAGCTTGGTGTTTGCAGAGCCCGAGGCGCCGTACTTGAGCTCAGTGAAGTGGGACTCGAAGAAGGCGATTTGGTGCTCGTTGGTGGCCGTGGGCTTGTTCTCGGTCGAGGTCTTGATGGAGAAGTGGTAGAACTTCTTGCCCTGGTTGATGGCTGCCTTGGTCTGGGGGATGAGCTCAGTGCGCAGCATGGTCTGGCCATTCCACTTTGCCGTCTCGTCGATGGTGATCTTGGCACCTTGCTTGGAGGCCTTGTCGGCGGGGTTCTTGAACGAAGCATCGAGGTTGACGTAGTCGGTCACGGGGCCAGAACCGTGGATGTAGTATTGGTAGGAACCGACGGGGTTGGCGAAGGACCATTTGGACAGATCAGCACTGGAGGTCATGTCGTTGAAGCGACCGTCCCAGACGATTTCTAGTAGCACCAAATCAGCACACGGGCTTTGAGTTTCTCATTTTTTGTTGTTGTCCTTACCAGCTGAGACAGCGCTAAGCAGCGCGCTCATGAGAGCAGCCTTTCCAAACATCTTGAGTATCTTGAGTATGTTGTTTAATCAAAAATAAACAGAGACCAGCTGTAAGTGGGTGTGGAGAGAATGTGAAGTGAGTGTCTACTTTGGACGAAACGAAGGAATGAACGAATGAATGAATGACCTCAGTGAGCAATGGAAGCAAAAACAATATAACGCGAGGCACTCGAGTGTCATATAAGCAGTACCTCGACTCAGTTCAAGCTCATGCTTAGGCTTAGCCTGCCGTCTCGGCACGAACAAAGTGAACCTCACGGTGGAATCGAAACGGCGGCATGACTACATGCAGTATCGCGCGCGCTATAGCTACTCGCATGAACAGCTTTGACAGGCCGACCGATGACAGGACAGCTGTTTGGTGATGCAAACGCCGGTATGAAACGTTCGCGCTCGAAGCACTAAACCGGAATCAGCGGAGACGGGATCCACGGCCGGCTTGTCGGGGTATAGCGTGGGCGGGTCGATTGTGGGAAGGATTTATGAAACGCTCCCTGCTCATAGCAAATTGTTTCATGGTGATTAGCGAGCTTTATAGAAATTGTACATGCACTGAGGCGGAGATTACATTTTGGTTTTTCTTTGCTTCTGCGCAGTGTTGAGGCTCATTGAACTAATCAGTTTTCAAGGAATTCAATAGTCTTGATGCCCGAAACAGGCGTCGAAGTGGCACGAATGAATGTTTTTGTATTTAGAAGGAAGATCATAACGAAATGAACGAGAGAAGTGGGCGCCGTAGCGTTCGGTGCCAGAGTGAATTAAGGCTAACATGATGACAACGGCCCGATGTTATTAGCCGGCAAGTTCCTGTTCTTCCATATTTTTGTTCTGCTGACGCTTTGCACTTGTTTCAATAGTCTTGGTGTTTCTTCGACATGTTACTTCTCCGACCTTGGCTACACATCTGGATCACAGTTGCATGGTGGTAGCGCGGGTACCACATCCACGGATCACGACTCAAACTCATTTTAGCCACCGCAAGTATCCGACTCATTCTACCACAATTCGTTGGCTATGGGTGCGGTCATGATTTTGCACTTTCGGTATGCTATTGCCTGAAGTATCGTTATGTAGCAGCTGTGCAGCATCCTCGCAAGTATTCAGAGAACCGCAAGTGCCCTCTTTAAGCACTATCAAGGGCGATGCGAGTTGTTGTTCCGGATTTTCTACCGTTGGATGCAATCGTCGGTGCTAAGTACTTGTGTGTCAATGCCGTCGGCAATGTCAGCAACATGATACAAACTAGAAACAAAAAAAGGTAACCTAACGGTATACCAGAGCGTCTCGTACCTAGCCGTATTTCTGAGCTAAGCAACTCATGAGTTCATGGGGCCTACACCTCTTCTGCCGATTCGCACATAAGATGAACTGCCTTCGAATCATCTATGCACATATGGTTTTGACTAAGCATATTAACACATTGTGAATGTCACTATTTCCTTCTGATACCTTCTGGCTGTCCTATAGTAAAAGTTGCATCTCATTTTCAGTCATTAGATAGCTACAATGAGTAATTCAGTGCGCCGAATGACCCGATTAATAATTTTGAAGAAACTTTCGCTCTTAGTTCTTTCATCTATAATCTACAATCTAGGTAGAAAAAAAATAACGAATAGTCCGCTCGAGGTTCGTCCTCTCATGGCACAGACTGTCGTGAAAGTGCAAAAACAACTCGCTAAAATGTCCATTACTACTCAAAAAATGTTTCGTTCCAACCCATTGGTCTTAATGTCAGGTCATGTGGAGAGATAATGGATTGACGGGAGCTAGAACCATTCAGGAAGGATAGCTAGGACGGGGCCGATGGAAGTAATATTCTCATCAGCCTATAGGAGATTTTTGCATCAATAGGATTGGGTAACTGGTGCTAGGGTTCTGATTACAAGAACGGTCAACAAGCGAACAAGATGCGGCTGAATGCAAACGACAAGCCTTAATGCTCGTGTATAAAGTGCTACTGGTTGAGGTTGTTGATCATTGACGGTGGCGCACTTTCATCGGTGTCTTTACGGCTGTCTCTATTCGCCCGTTAATTCTCCGCAAACATGTAGGGTTTGCATATGGTATGTGTATGAGTAGTATGAGTGTGATGGTATAGTGGGACGGCCGATGCCGTTATATTGTCTATGATGGATCCGTGACGTCGGTAGATGGCGCCGTGCAAGGATACATGACTGCTGTTCAACGTCAGCAAAGTATCATACTCAATATTCGCTTATGTGTTTATTTGGCAATTTTGCAGCCCGTGGTGGTTGTGTGCTACATGTATATACCTGATGGCATCAACACGTCCGAGTTCCTGCTGGACAATATGATCTTCGATCGTTGCCGCAGGATGCACGCTAGGAACAACAAGCGTATGGGACAAGACCCACATGGTGAGGCCAGGTGCCTGGAGAAACTGCGCTGTCGTGCCAAACACTCCGAGCTACAGCAACGGGTGTCCCGCATTACCACAATACCAGCGACATTTAGCACGTTATCCGGTTGGGCAAAGTATCCGCCCAAGACGAGCACCAGCCGCCACATGCAGCGTTGAACAGACACCATGGCCACGCCCGCACGCGACCCCGTACTTCTAAACCCGTCGAAAAATGATGTACCACCACTCCATCGCGTAGGCATGCTGGAACTTTTGCACAAGGACACTCACCCTACCTTCGTAATTGACACGAGACCAGAGAATGCCGACTGTCTGAATCCATATGTATTGGATTATTGGAATCCGGCCATGGCCACTGCAGATCCTGGAGGCCTGTTGCGACACCTAGCCCGCAAAGGCCTTGCGCAAAACACCCATGAGGAAGGCTACCTGCCATTTACTCCATTCCAAAAGTGGTGCCAGGAGCAAGATGCCTCAAAGGTGTCGTTTCCGTACCTTGGCTTCGACTGGACAAAGATTCAGGTCGCTAGTCGTTGGAACGTCATCAGCGGTGTCTGCGTTAGTATGCGGGCGAACAGCAGTAACTTTAACACAAAGGCTCCCGCAAAAGAAATTTATAAGGCAAAGCCATCGCATTTTGACTGGACAGACGAAGAAGTGTTTCCAGACCGATTGTCTCCTCATGCGGCATGGGCGCGCAGTATCGATTGGTCCTCTACCCCTCTAGGCCCAATGCGCTCCTGGTCGTCTGAACTACGCAGCTTTTGCAACTTGGTCATGATGGACCCGCAACCCGCCGTGATATTCTATGGGCCAGATCTCATCATGATATACAACGAAGCTGAGATTGGCCTTCTAGGAGGCTTCCATCCATGCATGGGAGAGAGTGCGCGTGTTGCACTTGCCTCAGTCTGGGGTGAGTACTTTGAACCAATCATTGAAAAGAACCTGGCCGGAGAGACCGTTCAGAAGACCAATAGTACGATCCACATGGTACGCAATGGATACATGGAAGAAACGTACTTTTCGTTGAAGTTCATCCCAATATTGGACTCCACAGGTGCTACCGTTGGCCATTACGAACCTTTGGTGGAAACAGTACGTTAAACCCCCTGTCCTTACACTTTGAAAATGTTTCGTGCTTTTTGTGGCCTCCCTAGAGTTCTTGAAGACGCAACTTTTTCCCTGAACTCATCTGAAACCATCACTTTGTATCTACAAGACTGTGATTAAGAAACTAGGTTTTGTCCCAAATTCTTTGGACGGAAGCGAATAGACACGGCCATTTCCTTTACCCTCTTATAAGCCTGCTAATGCCCACGTAGACTGAAGAAGTGGTTGCGCAAAGACGTTCGCGTACACTGCTTGAACTGAGTGAAGAAATTCCAACCGCACGAAACTCCGATACCTACTGGAATGTTGCTACCGAAGTTTTATCACGTAACGATAAGGATATGCCCTTTGTTCTTTTGTACTCCGCCGAGGCTGACACCAGCGGCTCTACATCAAGTAGGACTCGGTTTTCCGACAATAATCAACAGCATTGCAAACTTCGAGGCTCCTTCGGACTTCCCAAAGGATCGCCAGCCGGTCCAGAGCACCTGGATTTCCAGCAGGACCATGGATTCACACCATATTTTCGAAAGGCTCTTGCAGCTCGAAAACCAATCATCGTACAATTTGACCAAGATCCAGTCGCTGCAGAACTTGTTCATGGTGTCGAATGGCAGGGGTTTGGAGATCCTTGCAAAACAGCGGCTATCTGTCCCTTGAACCCGACTTCTTCGCGAGATAACATACTTGGGTTCTTAGTCATGGGACTGAATCCGCGTAGACCCTTCAATGACACCTGTTATCAATTTATTTTGGTTGCCAGTCATTTACTTTCCACATCTCTCACATCAATCTTACTTCATGAAGAGGATATTGGGCGTCGGGAACGAACGATAGCCACCGCCGAAGCGATGAAGTATCAGCTCAGACAGCAATTGACGCAATCCCAGCTGGAGTCCGAGCGTAATTTGTCCAAGTTTAGGCGTTTTGCAGAGCGTGCTGACGTTGGTATTTTTCTCGTCGACATGGATGGAGTTTATTCGTATAGAAATGAGGCATGGTTTGAGATGTTGAGCCCAAAGAATCGCAACATCGGTCTTGAAGAAGCGTGGGACGAGATAGTAGATGACGCCTTTATTCATCTAGGACATGTTAAGTTCAGGCAACTTATGGAAACTAAGGAGCACCAGTAAGATGCCCATTTCCTGTGTTAACATCTAGCTCATATCGATTAGGTCCTTCGAACTGCGTCTCAAGAAGACATGGAATGCACCAAGTCAAAGTCTTGATGACACAATGTCCGAAGAACAGCCTATGTGGGTCCTGACATCAATTTTTCCTGAGCTTAACGACGATGGCGCAGTGATTGAGTTGATTGGTTGTTGTACGGATATCAGGTATTGGACTCCCTGGTGCGGTTTCTGTGAGGGTGCTTACAACTACTAGTCAACAGAAGTGGAGTGAGAAGCTCCACGCTACTCAGGCAGAGAGAGCTCGAGAGTCTAAGCGGTAATTCCTTCCTCGCCTAATAGTAATCCTATCCTAACTGAGTATTTACAGGAGC